CGGGGGACGGACGGACGTGCCCAAAATCAGCAGAGCCACCGTGGATGGGGGATGCCCAACCAGGGGAGCTGCTCAGCTCCAGGGTGCTGCTCACCATTGTTGAGAGGCCCCTTTCCCGTTAAGTTCTGCGTGGCAGTGCAATGCTGACAACGCAAAACTGAAAACGATGATTAGCCTCGTTTAAAAGATGGGGAAACTGAGGCACGTGGTGATTTGGGACTGTCTTTGCTGAGCCGGCGAGGGAGCAGCCAAGAAAGTGGCAGTCAGTGCAGGCTGCCTGTTATCCAGGGCTGCCCCAGACCAGCGGCCGGAGGAGGCTGAAGCTGTGCTGAACCTCTCAGCACCTCGGTTTGGTGCTGCAGCTGCTCCTCCGAGCACATGGAAGGCTGGGGCTGCCCACCCTCAGGAGCTGCTCCCCCAAAGCGTCTTCCACCCTCTTCAAAGTGGCAAGTGATTTGACCAAGGTTGCATAGAGAGTCGCTAGCAGAGCTAAGAGCTAAGTATCATCTTCCTTAGCCCAGCTGGCTCCACTGGGCTTAATCCAAAAGCCCAGCTGTCTCCACTGTGTGGGAGAAGATGCTCAAAGTTCCCTTGCTGCAAAGGCAGAAACGCAATGCCTATGTGTTTGAGGCTTAAGTTTCCCAAGACATCTATATTTTCAGGGATGATCACCACCATGGTGGCTGTATTTTTGTCTGCTCCCATTAATGATGGGCAAATGAGCTCTGCCTAATTCCCCGGGGACAGGGTTTCCAGCCTGGACCAGGAGGATTTACTTCGCACGGTGCATCTCTGCGGAATAAATGTCCTCCGAGGGCTCACCCACGCTTCTCTACCAAAGTTGAGCCCCTCCTGTGCTCTGCACCAGCAAAAGGAAAAGCTGCAGAGTTCAATGGATCTGGATTTCATTTCTCCTCCCGCTGCTGATTTTTTGAGGGTGGCCCTGGGAAAGTGTCTTCATGCATTTTCCCTCTGACACTTGGCTTCTCTATTTCGAGTAAAAGCTGCTCAGAGTACACCCTGACTCTTACTACGTCTATTAGCAGTGCTTGCCAGACCGGGGGGCTGTGATTTGCTTGAGATCCCTAAATTCCTAGACAAATACACAATAAATTGTAATAAAACTTCTCACTGGTGCGGGAAACTGGAGGGGAAAAAAGACAGAAAGAATCCTTATAGGTTTGCGAAAAGGATATAAAGGGAAGAAAAGCACAGCTTATTTCATTTTTATCTCCTTTTCCCCTCCCAGCTGTAATGAAAAGCAATTTTCACTAGCAGAGTGTTGTCATTTTGCTGAAGAAAAATTCACAGTTTTGGCCAGAGAGTGTTTTCTGGCAGCGGAGGTAGCGCTGAGCCTTGGAAGGCACCTGGGCCCCCACCTCGATGCTCTCCAGCTCCGCCGCCCCGCACAGTGCCTCCTCGCTGGGCTCGCCGTGGCCATCCCCTCCCGAGGCCGATCCCACCAGCCCGTGACGAGCATCTCGGAGCAGCAGCCTTGGCTGGCCAGTCATTGTGATTTTGGCATAGTAGTGCAGCAAGGTACCACAAAAGTGCTTTGCTGGTGTGAGGGGACAGAGTTAAAACGCCCGGTGAAAGGCAACGCCCTGAGTGACTATGAGTTATTTTGGATGGACCCTGTGAACTGGGCACTAACCTGGTAGTTAACACCGGTGAGATGAGTAAGTGAGCGTGGCTGTGCCCGGCCCTGCGAGGGGACGTGAGTGCTGCCCCCATGAAAGCAAAACCTGCCACAGTGCCCCCCTTCGCCCCCCAAATACCCCCAGAGGAACGTGCAGGTGTGCCCACAGCCTTGAAATCTTCTCCCTCTCACCCCTCTGTAGATCTCTACAGGGATTTTTTTTTTTTTTTTTCTCATGCTTCTTGTTACAGGGGAGTTCCTCAGCACTGGCAAACATCATTATCATCCTCCC